AGGGCCTGCTTCCCCTCCAGTCATGAGACAGCCATTCCACTTTCTGCTGCATGCTGATCATCCGGGACCTGGGGCTTTAGAAGCAGTCTCACTATGGGGTCTTGTCTGATCTGGAACTCATGATATAGACCAGGCTGATCTTGCACTCACAGAGACCCCAGCCTCTGCCTCCTGAGTGCTGGGATTGAAGCTGTGCACCACCAGGGTACTTCAAATCAACAGATGAGCCTGGGAGCCTAAACAAACAAGTGAGAATCATAAAGGTTACTGTCCTGGGAGAGGTGTGTTCTCCTCCAGGCCAGCTACCCCTTGCAGGTCCTACACACACTCTCACACAGAGACATACACACACATACTCACACACACAGACATTCACACACGCTGACACAGACATACACACACACATTCACACACAGACATTTCATACACAGACATCTCATACACACACAGACATTCACACACATGCTCACACAGACATACACACAGACACACACGTTCACACACACACTCACACACAGACATTCACACACGCTCACACAGACATACACACACTCACATACACAAACATACTCACACAGACATTCACACATGTTCACACACACAGACATTCACACACGCTCACACACACATACACACACTCATACACAAGCATACTCACACACAGACATACACACAGACATTCACACATGTTCACACACACACACACACTCACACACAGACATTCACACATGCTCACACAGACATACACACACAGACACATACACAGCTGGGATGCAGTCTGCTCACTGTGCAGTCCCTCCCACAGTTTCCTCAGGCTACCATGGCCAAGCACACAAGTGTCCAGAGGGACGTAGCAGACTGGAGATTAAGAGAGCAAATAGCTCACTGGGCATCCCAGGAGAGGCATGGAGAGTACTGTGCTCCTATCTGAAGAGGGGGCTACTTCTAGCAGGACAGTAGGTGGATTTAAACCAAACCCAGTGTACCCAGGCTACTGGGTGTTGTGTAGAGGTTCAGGACTTGGCCAGGTGTGGGAGAAAAGCTGGTTCTAACAGAAATGTCCAAGGCCTGAGAAATGGGATACAAGTCAGCCGCTGTTCAGTAGAGCGATACTGGGGGCTAGCTTTCAGGGCTGTCTATGCTGAGCAGGTGGGGCTGTGGCTGGGTGGGAGGGCATGAGTGACGCTCCCAAGTGTCTTCCTGTCCTTGGCTGTCCCTGCATTCGCCCAGCCCACGATCCCCATCACCACTTAAAGCTGCCTTGTCCGCTCCGCCAGTCGTTTTCCGTAGCTGTAACACTGGCAAGGCACATCAGCAGTGGCACAGCACACAGTAGGTACCTTAATGTTTGCAGGAAGAATGAAAATATAGCGTGGAAAAAGAAAAAGAAAACAACTCCCGGGGACTTCGACAGAGATGTAAAGAGGACAAAGTTCTAAAGTAACTTCTAGACCATCAGAGGTCCCTTTGGGGGCCCAGGCTGCCCTGTCTCTGCACACGTGTTTGCACAACAGAGTGCATACGGGTGTGGAGGTCAAGGTCAAGGTCAGGTATCTTTCGCTACCACTTTCCACTTTATTTTTCAAATAAAAAAACCCCAGATTTGTTTCTTATGTGCAGGAGTGTTTGCCTGCATGTATGCCTGTGCATCGTGTGTGCCTGAGGCCCATGGAGGTCAGAAGACCCGGTCAGATCGCCCGGAACTGGAACTGTGGATGGCTGTGAGCCACCACGAGAGAGCTATGCACCAACCCAGGTCCTCTGCAAGAGCAACAAGTTCTCTTAACTCCCGAGCCGTCTCTCCAGACCCTCCACCTTATTTTTTGAGACAGGGTCTCTCTCTGAATCTAGAACTCATCAGTTGGTTAGACTGATTGCTCAGCTAGCTAGGGAAATTTCCCTATCTCCTCCCCCAGGCAAGTGCCTCTGCAAGCTGGCTTTTTACTTGGGCACTGGCGAGCTGAATGAACTCAGGTCCCCATGTTTGTGCGGGAAGCACATGACCACTAGGTCATATCCCCCCCACCACCACTGCCCTTTTTGGTGTTTTTGAGACAGTCTCACCGGCTGTCCTTGAATTCACTGTGTAGTCCAGGCTGACGGAAGGCTCACAGCAATCTCCTGCCTCAGTGTCTTCCGTGTTAGGGTTACAGGAATGTGCAGCCACACCAGCTGCAGACTGTCCGGTGCTCTTCCTCCCACGCCTACGCTGAGTCCTCTCAGACAGTGCATGGGGGAAAGGTTGTGGATGCTGAGGAGGGGACATCACCAGTTCAAAGGGTGCTCAGCCTTGAGATGCCTGTCCTATTCTCTGCCAGCCTCAGAGCTAGGTGCGCTGAAGCTGGCGGGCGGGCATGTCCTTTGCCTACTCCAGAAGTCAGGGAAGGGATAGATCTGCCAGCCAGCCAGGGTGAGCAGAGCAAGGGGCGGGGCAAATACTCTGAGCTGTCTGCAGGCCTGTTGTTTATGTCTGGGGCTTTTGTGCAGTGTGCATTATGCCCGGTTCTTCTCCTGCATAGAGATCCCTTGTTCCACTCAAATAATTGCATGTACCTGACCCATGAGCTTTTAGTGTATAGTCTAGCAACCAGGGCACTTTGTGTGTGTGTGTGTGTGTGTGTGTGTGTGTGTGTGTGTGTGTGTGTGTGTTGGAGATCCACCTTAGGCATCATTCCTGAGCAGTCCACTTTGTTTTCTGAGACAGGGTCTTTCACTAGGGTCTGGGATTTACAGATTAGGCTAGGCTGGCTGACTAGTGAGCTCCAGAAACCTACCTGTCTTTGCTACCCTGGCACCGGGATTACAAGCACATAGCACACACCTGGTTCAAACATAGGTGGCAAACACTTTACCAACTGAACCATCTGCCCTCAGCCCCTAGCCCCCCCTTTTAAAAACAATTAATTAAAATATAATTACATTATTTCCCCCTTCCCTTTCCTTCCTCCAGTTCCTCCCATATCTCACCTTACTCTCTTAAATTGATGGCCTAGTTTCTTTGATTATTATTCACACACACACACACACACGTGCACACACGAATATATAAATACAAGCTGAGTTCATTTTGCATTGCCTGTGTGTGTGAGTTCAGGGCTGACTGCCTTGCATTAGACAGGTGAGTGAGGGAGCTGATCCCTGGGAAAGAGCAATTCTCCTCTCTCCCTGTCCTTAGTTGTCTACAATCCTGTGTTTAGGGGTGGACCGCCATGACGCGCTCTCATTTTAAAAACATTCTCAGATAGCCCAGGTTGGCCTCGAATTCACTCTTTATAACTCTTCTTTCCAAGTGTGTGCAAGTGTGTGTCACAGCAGGTGGTTAAGGACCGAGAGAGAGAGAGAGAGAGAGAGAGAGAGACAGAGAGACAGAGACAGAGACAGAGACAGAGACAGAGACAGAGACAGAGACAGAGACACAGAGAGAGAGAGACAGAGGCAGAGAGACAGAGAGACAGAGACAGACAGAGAGAGACACAGAGAGAGACAGAGACAGAGACACAGAGAGACAGACAGAGACAGAGAGACAGAGACAGAGACACAGAGAGACAGACAGAGACAGAGAGACAGAGACAGACAGAGAGAGACAGAGAGACACAGAAACAGAGACAGAGAGAGAGAGAGACAGAGAGAGAGGTGAACGCATAGAGGGGTCTGGCAAACAGGTAGAAAGGAAAGCTGATGGGCAGAAGGCTCTAGAGAAGAGATGTTGAAAGACTACAAGGATTGTCCTGTGAGTGGAGGCGCCCAAGTGTGAGGCGCACGGCTCTCCCAGGGAAACGCTGATAACACTGAATGGCTAGGACATAGGTGGGGCAGGGCCATGGGTGCTTGAGCACTTGAGGCTGAGGTAGGGAGGGAGAAGGGAGGAGACAAGGTGGGGGTGAGAGATGGCTCCTGCGCCAAGCCGAGGATGGGGACTGTCACGTGAGCCCCGTGATGAGCGGCAGAGAGACACAAATGGGATCTGAGTTTTAGGAAGTTCAGTCGGGCAGTTGTAGGAAAGATGACTGGCACTTAGGGCCTGAGACAACAGGGTAGCGGCTGTGGAATACTAGGCAGGCAGGAAAAAGTTCCTGAAGCCCTCAGGGAGCAGACACTGAGATGATTATGTAGGACGGTGATGTGGGAGGTGACAGAATTATTTCCCCTTTCAGGCTTCTGGTTTGGATAGACTGTGTCCTGTTGGTTTAGGAAGACAGAGGCCCAGTGTGTTAAAAAAATAAAGTGCTGAGCACTGAGCACCCCCTACACACTGGAGCAAAGCCATGTCAACCGGATAGGCCCAATGTAGTGCTGTCTGGGGTGCTGACAGAAGGAACCAAGAAGTGCAGGAGACTGTCAGTCAGTTCTGCCGAGGAGACTGGGCCTCTCTAGGCTACAAGGGAGGCGACAGAAAGGACCCAGGGGGAGTCTTACAGCAGAAAGGTGTTCAGCCATGATGGGATTGTGATGCCAAGGGCTCCACACACACCTTCAAAGACAAATTAACTGAGCTCCTGGGAGAGCAGACTGAGTAAAGTTCTCACTGACGCCGGGCAAGGACAGGAAGAAGGTGGTGCTCCAGCGACCTGTTTGCACTCCAGCGTGGGAGGACTTCCCTCACGGGGCCTCGTGGTCCTGGATAGCAGTTACAGAGGCTCTGCCTGGCTGGAGGGGATAAGACTCACATCTGTGAGGACAGTGAGCCCCAGAAAGTGCCTCAGCCCTCCTGTCTGGTCGCCTACAGAAGGGTTTTCTGAGATGCTACCAGTCATACCCTAAAGTTGGTGAGGGGAGGAGAGGGCAGGGAGAGAGTGGAGCCACTGGGATCTGACCCTCAGGATGCCCTGAGCCGTACTAGGGGCCAGGGATCATTCTAGGACCAGAGGACACGGCAATAACAAAACAGACCCGTTATCTACCGACCTGGTGGTGGGGTCTCCCAGCTTAGGGTACAGGTGAGGCCTCTTGGGGTCCAGGAGGGTGGGTGACCTCAGTGGGTCCCTGTGTGTCCCTTACAGGTGTTCTCGGTGGCGCCCCCGTTTGAGGTGAATGGCCTTCCACGAGCAGTGCCTCTGGGCTTGCCCTACCAGGACTTCAAGAGAGACGCCTCTGATTACGGAGAACGGGCACGGCTGCTCACCAGAGTCCGGAGGGTGGGCTTCTCACACATGCTGCTCACCACCGCACAGGTCCCACTGACTCCCTTCCAGCCTCAGGCCAATGGGAAGGAGGGAGAGGAGGAGGAGGAGGAGGAAGATGAAGAAGAAGAGGAGGAGGAGGAGGAGGAAGAGGAGGAGGAGGAAGAGGAGGAGGAAGAAGAGGAGGAGGGCGAGGCAGGGGCCCTTGGGGAGGTGCTGGGGCCCCGAAGCCTCTCTAGCAGTGAGGGGAGTGAGCGGAGCACTGAGCGGAGCCAGGAGGGCGCCCCGTCCACACTGCTGGCTGATGACCAGAGAGACACCAGGGGCCGGGCCTCCATGGCTGATGGGGACCTGGAGCCCGAGGAAGGCTCCAAAACGCTGGTGCTCGTCTCCCCTGGCGACGTGAAGAAGTCGCCAGTCACTGCCGAACTGGCCCCTGACCCTGACCTGGGCACCCTGGCTGCGCTCACCCCTCAGCATGAGCAGCCGCAGCCTACAGGAAGCCAGCTGGATGTGTCAGAGCCAGGCACTCTGTCCTCTGTCCTGAAGTCCGAACCCAAGCCCTCAGGACCTGGAACAGGGCTAGGGGCTGGGCTGGTGGCTGCTGGTGGAGCCGGGGCAGTCACCTCCTCACCCTTCACCAAAGTCGAGAGGACCTTTGTTCACATTGCAGAGAAAACCCACCTCAATGTCATGTCTTCTGGGGGGCAGGCCTCCAGACCGGAGGGGTCTGGCACCGGGGGCGAGCTGGGCCTGGAGATGCTCTCTGAGGGGGGCGCTGCAGAGGAGAGGGGCCCAGTGCCTCTGGAGAATGGCATGGCTTTGTCAGGGCTGGATGGAACTGAGACGGAGAGTTGTGCCCTGTCTGGCCCTCCTGGGGAAACACCCTCAGAAGTGGTCACAGACTCATTGCCCAATGGCCCAGCCCTTGCCGACGGGCCGGCTCCAGCAACCCCACTGGAGCCAGTCACCAAGAAAGGGACCGCTATCTCCCCCAGCCGCCATGCTATGCCAGGTTCTCGCCCCAGGAGCCGTATTCCTGTCTTGTTGTCCGAAGAGGACACAGGCTCAGAGCCTTCGGGCTCACTGTCGGCCAAAGAACGGTGGAGCAAGAGGGCTAGGCCACAGCAGGACCTGGCGCGGCTGGTGATGGAGAAGAGGCAGGGTCGCTTGTTGCTGAGGCTGGCCTCGGGAGCCTCGTCCTCCTCTAGTGAGGAGCAGCGCCGTGCCTCTGAGACACTCTCTGGCACCGGCTCTGAGGAGGACACACCTGCCTCAGAGCCCACAGCAGCCTTGCCTAGGAAGGTGGGGCGGGCAGCGACCACCCGGAGCCGGATTCCCCGCCCCATCGGTGTGTCCGCATCTGCAGAAGGACAGCAACTTCCTGGCAGGCCCCATGGTGCGGCCTCCGCATCTGACCTGGCCATCACCAGCAGGTGAGAAACTCTACCAGGACACCCTCTCCCATCTCCCTTCTGGGTACTGTATTACTTGTGTCTGCTTTGTCACCGGGCTCAAGGGAACAAGAACAGCATGCTTGGAGGGGATATGGTGAGGCTGGTGTCGGGGAAGCTGCTGGGAACCAGCAGTACCACACGGTCCCTGGTATGCCATGGGACATCTGAAACCAAAGGGTAAAACCTTGGGTGTCCAGTACCCGGCATGAACTAGTTTTTGTATTGATATTAACATAAGCACATTCTAGATTAGAACGCAAAACCCTCCAGTCATAGCCCAAAAGGCCCCGCACTGCAGGATGGAACCTCAGGCCTGTTTATCCATCTGTCTGGCCTCTTCCATCTTACCCATCTTTGATGGCACACATCTCTACGGCTCAATGCTCAAAGACATTCTGAAAATGTCCCCTTGTCCCCCACCCCTGCCCTTTTCTCTTGCCCTCTGCCCCTCAGCAGGCTCCAGCTGCAGAAGCCCTCAGGGTCGACAACTACTGCTGACCTCCGTCCCAAACACTCCGCGAGCCGGGGTCCTGGCCCAGGTCGTGCCCAAGTCTCCAGGTCTGCAGCGCCCCGCAGTCCCGGCCTCCCCGCCTCCACCGCGCGCCACCCCAGCGGGTCCCCGCGGAGCCAGTCCCTGTCCCGCAAAGAGAGCTCCTCCCCATCGCATCAAGCCCGATCCGGCGTCCCTCCACCTCGGGGGGGTCCTCCAGGCCAGATCTCAGCCCGAGGCCTCCCCAGGGGCCCCCAAGAAAGGACCCAGGGGGAAACAACAGCAGACTCAACGCGCAGCAACCAAAGGCCGGGGGGGCGGTCTCGGAGGGCCGGCCCGGGACCAGATAATGACACCCGCCCGCGGCTCTCTGCGGCGCCCCCTACCCTCACCCCGGTCCCCACCCGCAGCCGGCCACACTGGAGCAGCTTCCAGCACAGCCTTACGCGCCCGCGCGCCACCGCGGCCCCAGCTTCCTGCCTGCACCCGCCAGGACGCACGTGAGCACATGTTGCGCCCTGCAGCCCAGCCAGCCCACTGACCCCGAGGGTACCCTCGGCTCTTCTCTCTGCGTCCTCCCTCCCTCCCACTGCCCTTCTGCAGGGACAAGCTCACAGCAGATCCTCCGCCCCGGGAAGGCTCAGTCAGACGTGTAGGGCCCGGCCCCTTCACCCACTAGGTCTTGGCTGATCTCTGCGTCCCACATCCAAGGGGCTTCCATCTGCTTACACCTCCTGCGGCTCACCTTGTCCTCATCCTCATCTTCTTCAGCCTCCAACCCTACCCAACTGGAGAAACAGCCTCAAATTCCAGAAGTGTGCAAGCTCGGGCCTGCCCAGACTCCTAGAAGCTGTGGTGGCCGTGGAAAGCCAAGCTAGAATTGGGGAAGTGGGACCCAGGGGTGAATGGCTTATTAGGCTTAAGGGACATCTCTAATCTGGCTAAAGTCAGCTCTATGAGAGGTACAGGACTTACGATTCTTCAGAGGGCCTTGAGTTGCTCCCCTTGTCTCTGGGGAACAGAAATACCTTTCCTGAATAGGGTCGAATGGGGCCTCAGGAGGCGCAGCTGCCTCCCTGGGCAAGGGTGTCCCAGTGGGAATTTGGAAAGGGGCTTTAAAAAGGTTAGTCACTTCCCTGGTCCTACAGTCTAGCACTCAGGACCCCTTACCATCAGGAAGTCCTTCCTGAAATCTAACCTCAGTTCTGCATACTGTTCAGTCAACTCTCCTCTCTCAGCATCCCACACAGGTGGAGTGACTGGTTATCACCTTCTCGGTGTTGTTCATTTGAAGGTTCGGGAACTCTGTTCTGGTCATGGTGCCATCTCTGCTGTGGGCAATGGGCTGGCTCAGGCGTCATCCCCCTAAGCGGGCAGAGGAGGCAGGATGAGGCAGAAGGCCCTTCTCACTTTAGATTCTGTGTGATGCCAGCTGGTGTCCACCCTCCCCCTCCCCAGTTCACCCGGGCTCTCTTCCTCTGAGCCCGCCCACACAGCTGAGCTGCTCTGAGCCTGAAGTGAGGCCTCCTTCTGCATTTCGGCTTCTGCAAAGCTCGCCCACCTCATCAGGAGCCTCAGCTGCTAACATCTGGGGCAAGCAGTGCCCTGGCTGCAGATGGGACAGACAGCCCTCTTATCTGGGACAGGGACTCCCTGCAGGCCTCCTATAAAGCACTCAGCCTCCATCCCCTGCTCTGGCCCTTGTATCCTTCCCTGAGCCACAGAGAGCGAACCAAGACATTCAGGCCACAAGGAGGAGGAAAGGCCTCAGCACACCAGCCGTCTGGCCACAGCTGCCCCCAGGATGACTGACTGACTGACTGACTGACTGCTGACTGACTGGGAGCGGCTTGGTGCCAGCTAACTCCTCACGGAGAGTCAGAGGGTCTGGGCAGTTGCTTCCATGCCAAGAAGGCAGCTCTATAGACCAGCCCTGGGAGGACACCAGGGTGGATTGTCTTTGAGGTCTATCCCACACTAATGCAGAAGCTCCCAGAACACTCAGGAAACCTCTCTGGATTCAGTTATCTTTGTCACCCCGAGGCCCCCTCTCATTGCCCTCTAGTCTAGCAGAGGGGTAGAGGGTTCCCTTCCTCCCACCCAGAGCTTTTATGAACGACAATCAGCTCATGCCAGGTGGGGACCAGGGCATGACCCCTAGTGCCCAGGCCCTGGGCCTGCTCCTTGCCACCAACCGAACCGTGAATGTAGGCCCCCTCAGTCTCTCTTCTGCTGTAGGACCAACGGCGCCCTGGTTTGGAGATGGGGGCCTGAGGAAGCCCCAGGCTCACCCACGCAGCTTCACCCAGCACTTGAGCTGGTACAGATGCAAAACCCAGCCTGCCCTTGGGATTCCAGACTCCACAGGGCTCCAACTGACCTCAGGCCTCCAAGTCAACAGTGTCATCATGCTAGGAGGGAGGAGGGACAGAGGACCAGGAGGGGACGAAGGGGTTCCTCTCTCCAGGAAGGAACCGGGGCAGAGGAAGCACCTTCCCGCTGCCCCACCCAGCTGCAGCCCTTTCCAGGAGAATCAGCCAGCCCTGCCCTGGGCCCTTAGGCCCCACCCCCCCTCTTTGGGAGTGTCACACTACCACCACCATCCCTCATGTCCCCATCCGCCTGCTTCTGTCACCAGTCAGATGTGAGGTGTGTTCACCTTAATGCGCCTTCCCCCCCCCCCAGCTGTCCCAGTGCCTCCTGAGGGGCCTGGCTGGCTCAGTCTTCTCAGCCCCTTGGGTAGGTGTTGGGGGACAGCGAGCTGCCCTCCCCCGTCCCTGGGAAGCAACAGAAGAATGTTTACATGCCAAACAGAATGTAACAGCCCTTGGCCACCCTGCCAGTCACTGCATGGCCTCTGCCCGCCCTGTGCCTGCCCATGCCCCTGACACCAACACCTCGGAAGTTGCTGTCACAACCAGATGGGGGTCTCACAAGGGAAGTAGCCATTACACCATTAAAAAGCCTGTGGACCTTTCTGTTGGCCTGGACTCTTTTTCCCCTTAGGGAGGGCAGGGCAAAGCCTGGCCCCTGAGGGCTGGACAGGAAGGAAGATACAGGACGGTGCCAAGCGGGCTGAGATGTCATCCCCACCGAGGAGGAAAAGGAGGCTCAGGTCTGGTACAGGTGATATGTTCAGGGTCCTAACAGAAGAAAGGCAAAACTGGACGTGGCTCCTTGGTTGTTTTTGCTGAAGGCTGTAGACTCTCCATTCGCCTGGCCCAGAGAGGAAAGAAGCAAAACCATCGTTGCCCTAAAGGAAGCAGCCAGCAGTGAGTGTGGGAGGCAGACGGCGCGGCAGCCCACCCGGCCCTGCCTCTGACCGGCCCTCTGCACATCTGCAAGTTTACCCTGTAGCACCGCAGAGGCCTGCCTGCAAATCTGAAGCCCAAGAAGTTGTGAAAACAGTGAGCGTTTGCCTTGGATGGTACAGGTTCATTTGCTACCAAAGCCCAACAGAAAAGCCAGGCGTGGGGGCCTCAGGCCTGTAGTCCTAGTAACCACAGGACGTAAAGCAGGGGGATTTTTTTTTGAAAGTTCAAGGCCAGCCTGGACTACCCAGTAAATTCAAGGCTAACCTAGGCTAAATGTAAGACTGTCTCAAAAAAGAAAAAAAAGCCATGGCAAGCTGTTTATATTCATTAATTTCACTTATACATGTTTTCAGTGGAATGAAAACGTTTTTTGAGACAAGGTTTTGCCAGGTGGCACAGGCTGGCCTCAAATGTGCCGTCCTCCTGCTTCAGCCTCCCAAGTGCTGGGATCACAGGTGTGTTCCATGATGCTTAGTTACATGGCGATATTAATGTCTTTGATTAAGAGACACTGCTCTTGACCCTATTTATAATATATGGACTATGCATGGAATTACTTTCCTTCCTTAAAAAAAGTATTTCATCTATCTTGTGATGGCAATGGTTTGAGTAAGAGACTGTGGACCAGGAAAATAACGGACACAAGGACAATCTTAATGGCCATTGGTCGGGGTGGTCAGCAAAGCAAGGTGCAGGCACATACAAGGACTCTGCTGCGCCCCCCCCAGACTCAAGATGAGGGAGGGGCTCATGTTTCTACTGGTCGCAGTTTGTGAGACCATGAGGCTCTTGGAACAGCAAGGCATCTGTGGCCCTACAGGGGGCAGTCTGGGTGAGGGGAAGTTTCCATGGGGCGAGACAGGAAGTACTCTTTGTAGACTGAATCCTAATTCATCATAAGCGAGTCTTTTCATTTAGTGGACGACAGTTTCTCTCCCAGGCCTGGCTCTGGGTCACACCTGGGAAGTGAGACCATCCAGAAAGTCCACTCTCCCATCCTGGGGGGCTGCTCCCGGCTCTCCAGAACCTCGGCCTCTAACTTGAATGCCAGTGGGCTCTTTCTCTTTCCTTCTCGTTTAACATGTCCAGAGCAGGACATACTTGTAGTAAATGCTAAAAGCATATCAAATACAGACAACCCCTGTGCATGACCCTGACCACTGAGAGACTTGTGTGTACCATCACGGACCTTTTTTATGTTTATAATAATGCCTATCTCTCTCTGTCCATATATATTTCTTATAAATAAAAGAGGAGCGTATTATAACTACTGTCCAGGAATGTGACTTTTATTACCAACAGCATGCACTAGAATAGATTTCCTCCTCATCCTGTGACGCCAGGATCAAATCCAGAGTCTTGTGAATGCTAGGCAAGTGCTCTCCTACTGAGCAGTGTCTAACTTCACTGTTTCAAAATTGTTATTATTAATTTATAAAATATGCTGGGCGGCGATGTTGAGCGCCTTTTACCCTAGCACTCCAGAGATAGAGCAGGGGAATCTCTGAGTTCAGGGCCAGCCTGGTCTGCAGAGTGAGTTCCAGGACAGCCAGGGCTACACAGAGAAACAGAGTCATGAAAAACCAAAACCAAAACATGTAAACATACATATTTGTATATATTAAATTATACAGTATATAAGTGCGCACGCGTGTGTGTGTGTGTGTGTGTGTGTGTGTGTGTGTGTGCGCGCACATGTGTGCCAAAGTGAACTTGTACAACTTTCAGGGGTCCATGCTGTCCTACCACATTGAAGCTCAGGTGGCTGATGCAGCGCGTGCCTTTGCCATCTGAACCATCTCTCCCACCCTCCTCCATCTTTAAAAGTTATTTTGAAGCCAGGCCGTGGTGACGCACACCTCTAAACCCAGCACCCAGGAGGCAGAGGCAGGCGGATCTCTGAGTTCGAGGTCAGCCTGATCTACAGAGAGAGTTCTAGGACTGTCAGGGATACACAGAGAAACCCTGTCTCAGGAAAAAAAAAAGTATTTTGTTGTTATATAATTTACGTACATCTTTCTAACTTCAATTACACAATCCAGTGTATTCACAGTTGTGTAAGTGTCACCACAGTCAACTGTAGAACATCCCATCATCCACAGGGAAGCTCCCCGCCCATTGATTATCATCCATTCTCATTTCTACTTGGCCTCATAGCCTTAGGCAATCACTACTCTACTTGCCATCTATAGATACGCCTACCTGGGGACTGAGAATGTAACTCATTTTGGTGGGGTGCTTGTCTGTCATACAGAGGCCATGGGTTTGAACCCTGACACTGCGTAAACTGGGTGTGTTGACACATGCTGCAGTCCCTGTCCTTAGAGGGCGAGGCAGGAGCGTTAGAAACTCAAGGTCGTCCTCAGACGGGTAGTCACTTTGAGGCCAGACTGAGTACAGGAAACTTTATCTCAAAACAATAACAACGAAGCCCCAATGGCTGATTTTAGACATTTATATACATAAAATCATATAGGATCATAATTTCTTTCTCTTTATAACAAATAATATTCTACTGTATGGACACATGGCATTTTACTTTTCCACTCATAAGCTGGTGAACTATTTTGATTACTACAATAATGCTACTACGTGCAAGTTTTTGAGATTTTCATTACTTTGTGTGCTTGTGTATTTGTGTGTGTGTGAGTGTGTGTGTGCATGTGTGTGAGTATGTACGTTGAATTGCTAGGTCATGTGATAATACCACATTTAACATTTTGAGGAATCACCAATTTTCCTATTCATAACAACAGTGATATGACCTGTGCTCTTTTTTAACAACTACATGATACTGTCACACCACACGAGTGTTTTGTATCTAATTTACCCAGGTCCCCACAGGCTTCTCATCACACTGTGTGCACCCATGCCCAAGTGAGCTCCATGGTTCTGAAGCCCCCTATTCCTGTAAATGCTTACTTAGGAATTCCCAGAATAAACAAATGGGCGAAAAGCAGTGTTTTCTTCTATTTTTCAATTGTTTATTATTGACTGACTGAATGAAGAATGCCTCAGATTACATGTTACTTATGTTGGTATCCATATGCCATTCGCTCAGCCCATTTCTTTTCTGAGACAGGTTTTGTGCAGCCTAGGGTATCCTCAAACTCTATGTAGCTCAGGGCGACTGTGGGGATACCAGACCTCGAGCAGAGACTCACTTCCCCATCAGCCTGAGAGTAGGCAGCTGTAAGACAATGTTTACTAAAAACAATACAATGTCTGGGGCAATAAGTTCCTGGAAAGGGCTTGCCCACGGGAACCGCCCTGCCCTTGACCTTTCCCAAAGACTAACCACCTCTTCAGACCCACCCACCTCCACCTCTGGTGTCAGGGTATATAATAACGAGCCAGAGTAGGAATAAAGGAGAGCCTTCTTGAGGAGCCTTCGGTGTTGTCAATCTCCGACACCCTCCGCACATTCTGGGATACAGGCTGCGCAGCAGGCACGGCAGGTGACTTTTGAATGTCTGTTCCAGAATACCCCTTTGCTGGATGTGCCTCTCCGTAAAAAATCAAGTGACTGTTTTTCATGTTTGAAAGTTTTCAAGGGAGCTGGGCGGAGGTGGCGCAGGCCTCTAATCCTAGGGAGGCAGAGGCAGGTGGATCTCTGTGAGTTCTGCAGGTACTAGGCACTCACAAGATGCAAAGACACATGCAGGCAAAACACATATGTCCATAAAAGAACTTTATAAATAAAAAGCTTTCAAGGTGGTGACAGGTTGGGTGAGGTGGCAGCTGCTGAAGCATGAGGACCGAGTCCTCAGAGCCCACATAAAGCCAGACACACAGTGAGCACCGTCTTCACCCAGACAGATACACGGTGAGCACCGTCTTCACCCAGACACGCGGTGAGCACCCTCTTCACCAAGACACGCGGTGAGCACCGTCTTCACCCAGACAGATACACGGTGAGCACCGTCTTCACCCAGACAGATACACGGTGAGCACCGTCTTCACCCAGACAGACACGCGGTGAGCACCGTCTTCACCCAGACACACAGTGAGCACCGTCTTCACCCAGACAGACACACGGTGAGCACTGTCTTCACCCAGACAGACACGCGGTGAGCACCGTCTTCACCCAGACAGACACGCGGTGAGCACCGTCTTCACCCAGACACGCGGTGAGCACCGTCTTCATCCAGACACACGGTGAGCACCGTCTTCACCCAGACAGACACGCGGTGAGCACCGTCTTCACCCAGACAGACACACGGTGAGCACGGTCTTCACCCAGACAGACACGCGGTGAGCACCGTCTTCACCCAGACAGACACGCGGTGAGCACCGTCTTCACCCAGACAGACACGCGGTGAGCACCGTCTTCACCCAGACACGCGGTGAGCACCGTCTTCATCCAGACACACGGTGAGCACCGTCTTCACCCAGACAGACACGCGGTGAGCACCGTCTTCACCCAGACAGATACACGGTGAGCACCGTCTTCACCCAGACAGACACGCGGTGAGCACCGTCTTCACCCAGACACACAGTGAGCACCGTCTTCACCCAGACAGACACACGGTGAGCACCGTCTTCACCCAGACATACACGCGGTGAGCACCGTCTTCACCCAGACATACACGCGGTGAGCACAGTCTTCACCCAGACATACACGCGGTGAGCACCGTCTTCACCCAGACAGACACGCGGTGAGCACCGTCTTCACCCAGACACGCGGTGAGCACCGTCTTCACCCAGACACGCGGTGAGCACCGTCTTCACCCAGACAGACACGCGGTGAGCACCGTCTTCACCCAGACACACGGTGAGCACCGTCTTCACCCAGACACGCGGTGAGCACCGTCTTCACCCAGACAGACACGCGGTGAGCACAGTCTTCACCCAGACAGACACGCGGTGAGCACCGTCTTCACCCAGACAGACACGCGGTGAGCACCGTCTTCACCCAGACAGACACGCGGTGAGCACCGTCTTCACCCAGACAGACACGCGGTGAGCACCGTCTTCACCTAGACAGACACGCGGTGAGCACCGTCTTCACCCAGACAGACACGCGGTGAGCACCGTCTTCACCCAGACACGCGGTGAGCACCGTCTTCACCCAGACAGACACACGGTGAGCACCGTCTTCACCCAGACAGACACGCGGTGAGCACCGTCTTCACCCAGACAGATACACGGTGAGCACCGTCTTCACCCAGACAGACACGCGGTGAGCACCGTCTTCACCCAGACAGACACGCGGTGAGCACCGTCTTCACCCAGACACGCGGTGAGCACCGTCTTCATCCAGACACACGGTGAGCACTGTCTTCACCCAGACAGACACGCGGTGAGCACCGTCTTCACCCAGACAGATACACGGTGAGCACCGTCTTCACCCAGACAGACACGCGGTGAGCACCGTCTTCACCCAGACACACAGTGAGCACCGTCTTCACCCAGACAGACACACGGTGAGCACTGTCTTCACCCAGACAGACACGCGGTGAGCACCGTCTTCACCCAGACAGACACGCGGTGAGCACCGTCTTCACCCAGACACGCGGTGAGCACCGTCTTCATCCAGACACACGGTGAGCACCGTCTTCACCCAGACAGACACGCGGTGAGCACCGTCTTCACCCAGACAGACACACGGTGAGCACGGTCTTCACCCAGACAGACACGCGGTGAGCACCGTCTTCACCCAGACAGACACGCGGTGAGCACCGTCTTCACCCAGACAGACACGCGGTGAGCACCGTCTTCACCCAGACAGACACGCGGTGAGCACCGTCTTCACCCAGACAGACACGCGGTGAGCACCGTCTTCACCCAGACAGACACGCGGTGAGCACCGTCTTCACCCAGACAGACACGCGGTGAGCACCGTCTTCACCCAGACAGACACGCGGTGAGCACCGTCTTCACCTAGACAGACACGCGGTGAGCACCGTCTTCACCCAGACACACGGTGAGCACCGTCTTCACCCAGACAGACACACGGTGAGCACCGTCTTCACCCAGACATACACGCGGTGAGCACCGTCTTCACCCAGACATACACGCGGTGAGCACAGTCTTCACCCAGACATACACGCGGTGAGCACCGTCTTCACCCAGACAGACACGCGGTGAGCACCGTCTTCACCCAGACACGCGGTGAGCACCGTCTTCACCCAGACACGCGGTGAGCACCGTCTTCACCCAGACAGACACGCGGTGAGCACCGTCTTCACCCAGACACACGGTGAGCACCGTCTTCACCCAGACACGCGGTGAGCACCGTCTTCACCCAGACAGACACGCGGTGAGCACAGTCTTCACCCAGACACACGGTGAGCACAGTCTTCACCCAGACAGACACGCGGTGAGCACCGTCTTCACCCAGACAGACACGCGGTGAGCACCGTCTTCACCCAGACAGACACGCGGTGAGCACCGTCTTCACCCAGACACGCGGTGAGCACCGTCTTCATCCAGACACACGGTGAGCACCGTCTTCACCCAGACAGACACGCGGTGAGCACCGTCTTCACCCAGACAGACACGCGGTGAGCACCGTCTTCACCCAGACAGACACGCGGTGAGCACCGTCTTCACCCAGACAGACACGCGGTGAGCACCGTCTTCACCTAGACAGACACGCGGTGAGCACCGTCTTCACCCAGACAGACACGCGGTGAGCACCGTCTTCACCCAGACACGCGGTGAGCACCGTCTTCATCCAGACACACGGTGAGCACCGTCTTCACCCAGACAGACACGCGGTGAGCACCGTCTTCACCCAGACAGATACACGGTGAGCACCGTCTTCACCCAGACAGACACGCGGTGAGCACCGTCTTCACCCAGACACACAGTGAGCACCGTCTTCACCCAGACAGACACACGGTGAGCACTGTCTTCACCCAGACAGACACGCGGTGAGCACCGTCTTCACCCAGACAGACACGCGGTGAGCACCGTCTTCACCCAGACACGCGGTGAGCACCGTCTTCATCCAGACACACGGTGAGCACCGTCTTCACCCAGACAGACACGCGGTGAGCACCGTCTTCACCCAGACAGACACACGGTGAGCACGGTCTTCACCCAGACAGACACGCGGTGAGCACCGTCTTCACCCAGACAGACACGCGGTGAGCACCGTCTTCACCCAGACAGACACGCGGTGAGCACCGTCTTCACCCAGACAGACACGCGGTGAGCACCGTCTTCACCCAGACAGACACGCGGTGAGCACCGTCTTCACCCAGACAGACACGCGGTGAGCACCGTCTTCACCCAGACAGACACGCGGTGAGCACCGTCTTCACCCAGACAGACACGCGGTGAGCACCGTCTTCACCTAGACAGACACGCGGTGAGCACCGTCTTCACCCAGACACACGGTGAGCACCGTCTTCACCCAGACAGACACACGGTGAGCACCGTCTTCACCCAGACATACACGCGGTGAGCACCGTCTTCACCCAGACAGACACGCGGTGAGCACAGTCTTCACCCAGACATACACGCGGTGAGCACCGTCTTCACCCAGACAGACACGCGGTGAGCACCGTCTTCACCCAGACACGCGGTGAGCACCGTCTTCACCCAGACACGCGGTGAGCACCGTCTTCACCCAGACAGACACGCGGTGAGCACCGTCTTCACCCAGACAGACACACGGTGAGCACCGTCTTCACCCAGACACACGGTGAGCACCGTCTTCACCCAGACACGCGGTGAGCACCGTCTTCACCCAGACAGACACGCGGTGAGCACAGTCTTCACCCAGACACACGGTGAGCACAGTCTTCACCCAGACAGACACGCGGTGAGCACCGTCTTCACCCAGACAGACACGCGGTGAGCACCGTCTTCACCCAGACAGACACGCGGTGAGCACCGTCTTCACCCAGACACGCGGTGAGCACCGTCTTCACCCAGACAGACACGCGGTGAGCACCGTCTTCACCCCTGCTGCTAGCACGGCATACACAATGGTGACAAGAGATGGAAGGTGAGGGCTAACGTCAGAATTGTCCTCTGACTTCTGAATGTGTGCCTGCTCTCTCTCTCTCTCTCTCTCTCTCTCTCTCTCTCTCTCTCCCTCTTTCTCTCCTTCTTTTTCTCTCTTTCTCTCTCTCTCTCTCTCTCTCACACACACACACACACACAGCATGCACAGACATACATACAAAGATTTAAAATTACCTTTCAAAATATGTATGTATGAGATAAAACAAACTAGCCAGGTGTAATGGCACAGGCCTTAAATCTCAGGAGGCAGAGACAGGCAGATCTCAGTGAATTCAAGGCTAGCCTGGTCTACATAGTGAGTTCCAGCCCAGTCAGGGCAATATAGTGAGACCCTGTCTCAAAAAACAAAACAAATGAATGAATGAATAAACTATATTTTAGGGAATAACTCTAGGAAAAATGGACCAGCCAAAGAAATATACCCTGAGCGGAACCAAAGGAACACACTTTGTCCCTGGAATCAGAGTCAGTGAAAGAAATACACCCTGGTCCTAAAATTAGAGCCAAAAGGCTAAAAAGGTCCAGTGAAAGAAACACACTTTGACCCTGAAACCAGAGCCAATCTGACCCTAAACCTGTGCAGAAAACTAGCCAATCCCTGAGCAGGAGATCTAGCCAATCTGAGCTCAGGGACTGAAATCTGATCCATCCCCACCCTGTATATCTCCCTGGAAAAACTCTACCCCACCCCCAAGAAGCCCTGTGCAAACCCTGTGCCTGTTCAGCTTTTGTCTGTCTGGCTGCCTGACTGTCCTCTGCTACCCTGGCTAAGGCAGCCACTCTCTTAGATTTGTCCCTCCCAATAAATCTCTCTCTCTCTCTTCTCTCTTTTTTTTGGTTTTCGAGACAGGGTTTCTCTGTATTGTTTTGGAGCCTGTCCTGGGACTCGCTCGGTAGACCAGGCTTGGTCTCGAACTCACAGAGATCTGCCTGCCTCTGCCTCCCGAGTGCTGGAATTAAAAAAGGCGTGTGCCACCAAAGCCCAGCTCCCAATAAATCTCTTGAATGAGGTCTAGGTGACCTTCTTTCCCAGGAGCAGAGACAGAACCTTGGTAGAGCAGAGCTGTAACACTTCCTGGGACACACACGGACACACACACACACACACACACACACACACACACACGGACGCGGACACGGACACGGACACCTAGCGAAGCCGAGTTGTTTCCCTCTGAGAACCAGAGCTGAACTGTAACAACTTCACTGGGGAAGCCCTCTCCTGCAGGAGCAGAGCTGTCACACTGGGGAAGCCTTTCCCTGGAGCAGGGAGGGCTGTAAGCTGCTTCACTTATTGTAGCCTATGGTAGTCCTTGGCTCCTGAGTGCCAGAATACCTTTCCACCCAAGCCATAATGCTTGCAATAACTGTGTAGCAAAACGTATGTATATAATGTAATACATTGTAATATCAAATACAAAGAAAAGCAAACAGCTGAGACTACTGTGTCAAAGACCCCATTAATGAAGCCAGACGAGACGACCCCAGGTGGATATGCCCGTGCTTCCAGGCTGCCCGGCGTCTCCTCTTCATCGGCTTCTGTCTGTCTTGCATGTGTCTTTGCCCACTGTCCAGCAGTCATTAGAAGATTGGCTTATCATACTTAAATAGTGAGCGAATGTCAGCCATCAGCGGCCACCAGGGCTGGCTTCTGACAGGAGTAGCTGACTGGGGTGAAGGAAGCCTCCATATGGGGGCCAGTAAGATCTCAGGGCGAGGGACGCATGCCGGTTGTTGGGGAGATGAGACTGTCATTTAGATAAATCCTGCCAGAACCAATTGTCGGATGACTAGAGTCAGAAATCACATCTGTGGAGGCTCAAATGCATGCCTCTCAGGGATGTTAGCTGCCAGCTGGAGGACACCTTTCCCGAGGCGTGCTGGCTCCACTGGATCCTTCTATGAGCTCCCAGATCCCCTGCTCGCTCCTCGTCCTGCCAGCATGCGGTGCCTGGGTGTCTTTCTTCCGCTCTGGATCCCTCCGCTTATCTGAAACAAAGGAATCACAGCTTCGTTTCTCAGGAAGGGCTGACTGGGCTGCACTGCACACCCTCGCCTCGCTGAAGCAGCATCTGCGTCTGAATGTGCCTCTTCAGCCACATTCTGGACAGCGAGGATGGGCAGCTGAAGAGGACAGGGCATTCCCAGCAGCAGCAGGAGAAATGTGACAGGTGTGAGTGATCGCAGCTCACTGCTCACAGGCAAGAACCTGGCGGCTCTAACAGGAGTAGAGGCAGCGCAGGCCCCAGCCCTGGAAGGGTTAGGCTATGCCATATAAGAAACTAAGGGGACTCCAGAGACCTCTGCTCAAACCCTTCCCTAGGATCCCAAGATACGCAAAAGTCACTTGCCAAAGTCCAGCTCAGTTGTAGGAACTCTCTGACATCCACAGACAGCCATCTGTTCATCGTGCTGGGTGGTGGCGGCGCACACCTTTAATCCCAATAGTCGGGAGGCAAAGGCCGGTGGATCACTAAGTTCAAAGCCAGCCTGATCTACAGAGTGAGTTTCAGTACAGTCAGTGCTACACAGAGAAACCTGTCTTGAAAAACAATTGATTTTATATGTGTGAATATTAATGCCTGCATCCACATGTGCAAGATGTGCATACAGTTTCTGTGGAAACCAGAAGAGGCATGAGATTCCCCAGGGACTGGAGCTGCATACGGGTGGGAGCCACGGTGTGGGTGCTGGAGCTGAACCCAGGTCCTCTGCAAGAGCAGCCAATGCTTTGACCACTGAGCCATCCCTCCAGCCCCCGGAGGAGCTCCTGCCAAGTGCGAGGACACCCTAGGGAAGAGACTGAGGGACCAGTCACTGGGTACAGGGTCTGCCGAGTTTTTCCCCATTGACTTCTCATGGTCAAGGCCAGAACGAGAGCTGGGATTGAAGCCAGGGATGTTCACACCTGTACCTCCAGTACTGCACAGCGGAGGGAGGAGAGTCACCTGGATTCAAGGACAGTCTGGACTTCAGAGTGAGACCCTACCACAAAATAAGGGGGGGGGGAGCAAGCTGAGGCCAACCACGCCATGGCTAAAAGAGGGTCAGGTCACCCTCTTTGGTTCTCAGCAGAGCTGAGGCCATACATTGCACAAGGCAAGAAGAGAATGCAAGGCCATAGCGTACAGGGGAGATGGCATACAAGCCCAGCACATACACACACACACACACCCCTACACACTCACACACACCTACACACTCACACCCACACACCTACACACACTCACACACACTTACACTCACACACACCTACACACTCACACACCTACACACACTCAATACACACACCTACACACTCACACCTACACACACTCAATACACACACTCAATACACACATACACCTACCCACACATACACACATTTACACAATACACACACTCAATAGACACATAGCCCCATACACCTACACACACATAAACCCACACAAATACACACATATACACACTGAATAGACACATAAACCTACACAAATACACACACAATTCACACTTACACCCATACACACACCTACACAATACAATATACACATAACCCCACACAAAGCACACACAGTTACATACTTACACATATAACATATACATATACACTTATACACATGCACTCAAGACACACATACACACCTATGCACACTTACACACACTCAAGACACACATAAGCCCCACATACGTGCACACCTACACACATTTATTCACAAACACACATAACTCCCCACACAAACACGTACCTACACACACTCAATACATACATACTCCACACATACTCAATACACACATAAGCCCCACATACACACTCCCCTCGCCCCCCACGCCAGCTACAGCCAGTTTTTCACTGCTTGTTAGAGCTGACCTGCACTCCTGTCAGACTCGGTATTCATGCGTGTCACCCACGTGGTCTTCTTCCCTGGTCGTCGACACCGCCATTCTCAATGACATGAGAGAAGAGTGCTGCCATGTTGGGTGGGGTCAAGGAAGATGAGGCCAGGCTACAGATTAGTACCAACTCTCTCCCTGAAAAGAAGGATTGCAGGTCTAGATTCATCTAGAGCCAAGTTAAAGAGGGAGAGATGGCCACTGTTATTATTTCTCAATAATAATAACAGCAAATCAACCAAATAAAATGCCGAGCTAGGCATTGTAGTTCTTGCCATGAATCGCAACACTTGGGATGTAGAGAAAAGAAGATCATGAATTCAAGGTCATTCCCAGCAACATAGTGAGTTCAAGGCCAACTACATGAGACCCTGTCACACACACACACACAAAACAACGAAACAGAACAAGAAAAAAAAATAACTAAACACAACAATAGGATCAAGACCCGGCTAAAACCTTCACTAGCTCCCATTGCTAGAGGTGGTGTGGAGGTTTGAAAGAAAACACCCAAAAGGGAGTGGCCCTATTGGGAGGTGTAAAGAGAAGCTTTTTCCTTGGTAGCCGCTTTGGTTTATCACCTGCCAGTCGCCTGGGCTCTGCTGTGTTGTAGTCCCCAAATAACACACAAGACGCTGTATTAATTATGAAGCTGTTGGCCTTGCTTGTTTCTTACTGGCTAGCTCTGACTTAAGTAATTACCCCATAATTGTTAATCTAAGTATTTCTCTTACCAGAGAAGTTTCCGGACTTCCTACCCCATGGCGTTACATCTCGACTCCTATGTTTCTCCTTCCCAGAGTCCTCCTGGACTTCTAGTCCCTCCTATCTTAGTTCTCTATTGGCTCAACAGTGCTTTATTGACATAAGACTTCCCCAACAGGGAGGTGTGGCCTTGTTGGAGGAGGTGTGTCACTGTGGGGGCGGGCTTGAGGATTCTATTTGTTTGCTTGTTTGTTTTCAAGAGAGGGTTTCTCCATACAACAGCCCTGGCTGTCCTAGAAATCGCTCTGCAAACCAGGCTGGCTTCAAACTCATAGAAATCCACCTGCCTCTGCCTCCCGAGTGCTGGGATTAAAGATGTGCACCACCACCTCCTGGCGGCTTTGAGGCCCAGTGTGTTAGTCTTGTGTCAGCCGGTGTGTGTGTCAGTCAGTCTTGTGTCAGTCAGTCTTGTGTCAGCTGGTGTGTGTGTCAGTCAGTCTTGTGTCAGCTGGTATGTGTGTCAGTCAGTATTGTGTCAGCTGGTGTGTGTGTCAGTCAGTCTTGTGTCAGTCAGTCTTGTGTCAGCTGGTGTGTGTGTCAGTCAGTCTTGTGTCAGCTGGTATGTGTGTCAGTCAGTATTGTGTCAGCTGGTGTGTGTGTCAGTCAGTCTTGTGTCAGTCAGTCTTGTGTCAGCCGGTGTGTCAGTCAGTATTGTGTCAGCTGGTGTGTGTGTCAGTCAATCTTGTGTCAGTCAGTCTTGTGTCAGCCGGTGTGTGTGTCAGTCAGTCTTGTGTCAGTCGGTCTTTTGTCAGCTGGTGTGTGTGTCAGTCAGTCTTGTGTCAGCCGGTGTGTCAGTCATCCAGTGTGTCAGTCTTGTTGCCTGCAAGATGGAGCACTCTCAGCTGCAGCACCAGTCTGCCTGCACACCTCCATGCTCCCCACCATGATGATAACGGACAGAAACTCTGAAATTGTGAGTCCCAATTAAATGTTTTCTTTGTGAGAGTTGCAGTGGCCATGCCTCTTTACAGCCATAGAAACCCTAACTAAGACAGACAGAAAGCCCAGGTCTTTAGCTGAGCTGTTTGACCCCCAAAACTAGCTCCTCTCCCCAGCCCACTTGTGATCTCCTTCAACACACGCAGACACACATTTTCCTCCATGTTTGCACAACCTGTTTGAACCTTCCTGGAGACTCCCTGAGGGCAGGAATGCCTGGGTTGCATTAGACTAAGCAAACATTCAAACTTTTATCATCCTGTACCAGCCCCTTTCCTGCCTCCCAGCGACAATCCTTATCATGTGCCCATCCGCACATAGTGAACGGCCAGACCCCCACTGTGTGCCCGTCAGCACACCAAACCCCACTGTGTGCCCATCCGCACATAGTGAACGGCCAGACCCCCACTGTGTGCCCGTCAGCACACCAAACCCCACTGTGTGCCCATCAACACACCAAACCCCACTGTGCGCCCATCAACACACCAAACCCCACTGTGTGCCCGTCAGCACACACCAAACCCCACTGTGTGCCCGTCAGCACACACCAAACCCCACTGTGTGCCCGTCAGCACACCAAACCCCACTGTGTGCCCATCAACACACACCAAACCCCACTGTGTGCCCATCCGCACACACCAAACCCCACTGTGTGCCCATCCGCACACACCAAACCCCACTGTGTGCCCGTCAGCACACCAAACCCCACTGTGTGCCCGTCAGCACACACAGAGCAACCCGACCGTCACTGTGCGTCTGTCCATCGGCACACACTGAACACTGCAGATCGAGTCCACTGCAGAGGGCCTCTGGGCTATCTCTGTGAGTGTTTGGGCCAGCCTGGAGCTGACTGGGACATTCTTTATCTGTCCAAAGTAGGAGATAGATTAAATCAGTGCTTTGTAACATAAAAAAATTGTAGTAGGCCTTTTCTCAAAGGACACATAAAGGAGCTTTGGCATTTGGGGACCAGCTTAGGGTATGTTTGATACTGCTGGCTTCTGCCTTGCTTTTGCTACAGAGTGGGTTTATTATTTCTTTGAAACACCATGACCAAAAGCAACTTGGGGAGGAAGGGGCATATTTCACTCACACTTCCGTATCGCTGTCCCTCATGCAAGGAGTCAGGACAGGAACTCAAACAGGACAGGACCCTGAAGGCAGGAGCTGATGCAGAGGCCATGGAGGGGGCTGCTTACTGGCTTGCTCAGCCTGCTTCTTATAGAACCCAGGACCATCTGCACGGGGACAGCACCACCCACCATGGGCTGGGTCCTTCCCCGCCAATCAACAATTAAGAAAATGCCTTCCAGCTGTTAAATATTATGAGCCGCTTTCTCGGTGAATGCTAACGTGTGTGTTGAGCTGGCATCAAACTGGCACAGTGAACTCAGTCGCTGGAGCATCAGAGGTGCTACATGGACTCTTGGCAACATGGGAAAACACTGCTCCAAGGGGATGTCTGGGATGCAGGGAGTGTTCCTGAGATCCCAGGAGGGGCCAGCACAGCCCTGGGGTGACTTCGGTCAGGGCATCCACTCCAGACACTGGCGAGGGGTGTAAGGAAATCTTGGGGTTACATAATTAAAGTTCAGCCCTCGTCCTGAATCCTGGGCTCTGGGCCAAACTGTGCTATGACTGCAATAGACAAGGCTGACCTAAAACTTCCCAGGACAAAGGCCATCTAGGCAACAGGTACTGTGTCCAGAGACCGCCTCCGCTTTCACAGCCTGAAGCGCGAACAAGTAGCTGGGGTCCCACTGCCTCCTCTACTCCCAGCCGCCCTCCTGTGCTGACCCTTGGCTCTCTTGCCTGGTTTCTGAGGTCCAGGGTGGAAAGGCCACATCCATGCACACCATGACCACTGATGGATGGTAGCCCTTCCCCTCAGGCACTAGGCTAGCGAGGTACAATCTCCAGAAGTGTGGATGATGGGGGAGGGCACAGTGGGGGAGGGCACAGGCCTGGGCCAGCCCCTGACGGCTGGATTCTGGCTGCAGACTCTCCACTAGACAGTACAACCATTCCCACCTCCAGAGTCCGAGGGTCCAAGGCCCCAAGGTCTGCTGCCCATGCAGCTCCTGCTGCCTGTCTTCATGGCCGCCGTGCCTGCCCACCACTGTGCCCTGCCTGGTGCCCCCGCCAGCCTCACTCACCAGGACTTGTGGCTAGAGGCCCATCTACCGCGGAGACTGATGGCAGCTTTAGTCCCTGCCTCCTCCGCTTTGCCCATCCCCAGGCTGTCCCCAATACCACCTTGGGGACAGAGACACACAGCTCTGGGGACCCCGAGGGGGAACCATCCACAGTGCCCTGCTCTCAGGGCTGGGAGTACGACCACTCAGAATTCTCTTCCACCCTTGTAACTGAGGTGCCTGAGCCGGGGGGTGAGGGGGGTGCGGGTGGGCTGGGCCTGTCACTACCTTGGAGGTTGTGTGTGCATATGAGATAACTTCCTGTGCTCTGAGCTTTTGTCTGCCTGTGTGTAGAGAATCTGTGCATATACAGTCCCCAGTTGAGATCTGGGCTTGAACTGAGAGAATCGTCTGCTGTGATTCACTGGGAGGTGGTGAAGAAAGAAGCTGAGATTTACATGAATCAGCCAGAGAGGAAGGGCGGGTGGGGTGGTTCTCCCTGGGGAGAGGGAGACGAGGGGATTCCTGGGCCCTGGTGATGAGCCACGGAGAGGCAGTCTTCCCTTTCTGATGCTGAGGCTGCTATCCAGGGATGGGGTATGTTCTGGAACGTCAGAGTTGTCCTGGGGCCTGGAGAGGGGCTCTCACACACAGAAGGCCCCTCCCTTGCCTGTCTGCAGCAGGATCTGTGTGCGAGCGGAGAGGACTGGACACAATCACGTCCACCTGCTTCTCCATCGGCATGATTCTGGGGGCTGTGGTGTAGACACTTGTCTGACAGGCGAGACGGCACAAGCCCATGGGACCTGACCTGGCATGGCTGGTGCCGGCGTCTGCTGGTGGCCTATGTGCGCTCCCTGCGCTCATGTTTGCTGTCACCTGAGCTCTCACTGGCTCAGCCCTGGCTGGTTTCACCATCACTGTGTTGCCACTGGGCGAGGCCTGCAGGCCTGGCGGGAGGCTGTCAGAGTGAGGCGGGCCCATCCAGCCTTGCTAACTGTCTTCCTGTCTCGGTGGCTCTGGGTCTAGAGCTGGAGTGGCTGGGTGTGGAACACCGCACCGTGGCTGGGGTCATCAGTACCATCTTCTGGACGGGAGGTGTGCTGCTGCTGGCACTAGTTGGGTACCTGATACGGGACTGGCGGTGGCTTCTGCTAGCTGCCACCCTGCCATGTGTCCCAGGCGTCATCAGCATCTGGTGAGAATGTCAAATAGCTGGGAGGGAGAGATACATACAACCAATTAGCCAGAGACTGAGGTTCTAAAACAGGGGCTGGAGAGGAGGCTTACCTGGTAGCAGCATTCACAGGAGGATCCAAGTTCAATTCCCAGGACACCCATCATCAAGCAAGTCCATTTCTAGGGGATCAAACACCTCTGGCCTCTATGGGCACCTACGAGCACGCACACACACAACACACACACGCACACACACATACACACACAAACACACTCTCAGACACACACACAGACACATACATACATAGACACACACAGACACACACCTGCATATTCACACATACACACACACAAACATTCACACTCTCAGACACACACACTCAGACACACACTCACGCACACACACCTGCATACTCACACACAACACACAGGCATACACATACACACACGTGCATACTCTCAACTAAAAATAACAAACAAAAGAAAAGGGAGATTGAGGGAGGGGCTGAGGGTTAGCTCAGTGGTAGAGAGCTTGCTTGTCTAGGAAGCACAAAACCCTGGGTTTACCCTCAGCACTGAATAAACCAGTTGTGATAGCATATGTCTCTATTCACAATACTTAGAGAGGCATGAGCATCAAGGTTATCCTCAACTACATCGGGAGTTTAAGGGCAGCCTGGGTTACAGAAGATACTGTCCAGGAGGAACAAAGTAAAAGAAAATTGGGTGTCTGGGAAAATATCTCAGTTGGTAAAATACTTGCCATGCAAACACAAGGACCTGAGTTCAGCTCCCCAGCTCTCAGGTTAAAAATCATGGCACAGAGATGTGCACTCATAATCCCTTGGGAGGTAGGGAGGTAGAGATAGGAAGATATGGGCTCGCTGGCTAGCCTGTCTACCTGAATCGTCAAGTTCCTGGTTCAGTGAGAGACCCGTATCAAAATCTAAGGTGGAAAGCAATTCAGAAAGACACACGGTATCACCTGAACCTCTGTCTACACATGTGCACACATACAAACATGTACACATGCATATGCCGGCCCCCTCCACAGTCAGGTACCAGGAGACAAAAAAGATATCAAGAGAAGTCAGAAAAAGAGAAACCAATAGAAAGAGGACAGCAGCAGATACAGGAGCATGGAGAGCCAGAGGCTGAGCCAGAGAGGGGTGGTGAATCACAGAGCAGAACCGAAAGGGGAATTCAAATGGTCCTGTGGAGACACACAGGGACAGGCAGTGAGGAACAGACAGGAGAGACAATGGTGGAGAGTCAGATCCTGCCAAGTGGAGGCTGGGGTTTGCCTTCAAGGGACAGGATGGGACATGGCCAGCATGGTGTTGGGAACTAAGGCAGGAGAATGGAGGGTCTGGCAGGGTGGGCACTTTATGGCCTCCTAATGGTGAACTGTGTATCATTATGTCTATCTGGCCTTCCTCCTGCATCCATCTGCCAGAAGTGTTGGCTCATGCTAGGGACTGAGGTTGTGAGGTAAGAACAATTCAGTTGAGTAAGGAAAGGATGCTATGGAGGACTGGGGTGTCTAGGCCTGAATAGCAAATAAGGGAAGAGGTACTTTGTTTCGTTTTTCAAGACAGGGTTCTCTGTGTAGCCCTGGGACTCACTTGGTAGACCAGGCTGGTCTTGAACTCAGACAGATTCACCTGCCTCTGCCTCCCGAGTGCTGGCTCCCACCTGGCTACAAGGTAGCTTTTAAATTGGGCCTGAACCAAGAGTTGATGAGGCTGAGCAGTAGGAGACCTGGGTGGGCAATGTCTTTTCGGACAAAGGGGACTGACTGCCCGTGTACAGCCTGAAGTTCAGGATGTGGGGGTGGCTTGCAAGGCCGGCTTCTGGCTGACGGTCCTCTGGCTTTCCCCTAGGTGGGTACCTGAGTCTGCACGATGGCTTCTAACCCAGGGCCATGTGCAGGAGGCCCAAACATACTTGATCCGCTGTGCCGAGCTGAATGGGTGGTCTGTGGGTGAGGGCAGCCTGGACAAGGAGGTAAGGATGACAGTGTATGGGCGTGCACAGGGGTGGGGGGTGGGGGGTGTGTCTAAGTGTGCCTTCTCCTCGGCCTACCACAGATGACCAGAAAAGCCTTTGCTCTTCAGTGGAGAGGGCCTGGTTTCAGAATAGGCTGCCTGGCTCGAGGGGTGGAGTCATCAACTCCACTCTGGGTCCTCCCTGTGTACTCCTACCCCCAGGACTGCTGAGGAGATTGACGCAGACAGCACACTGGCTTCCGAGACAAGCTCTGATGTCACAGCCTTGCTTCCTCTCTCACCAGGCCCTGAACAAAGCAGTCGTCATGGCACGGGTGCTGCAAAGACCTTCATACCTCAGCCTGTTCCCAACACCGCAGCTCAGACAAGCGTCACTGTGCTGCATGGTGTTGGTAAGAGGGGCGGAGTCGGGTCTGATGGAGTGAGGGTAATGGGAGGGTCTGGGAGCCAGAAAGCTGAGGGCCAAGGGTAACTGGGGAGGGAAGAGGACCGTCGGTGACCTTGGGGGCAGGGAGGGCTCTGACTGCCGCCACAGCTTCAGTGGAGCAGGCAGCAGAGACGTGTAGGCTCACATTTAGGCTCTGTTTGACCGTTCTGATCCTCAACATCCTTTTGTGTCAAATGAATGGGTAGCTGTTAGGTCCCGCGTCACAGGGTTGCTACTAAGATTGGGGTAAAGGCATTTTGGCCACTGGTAACCTACTTGGGGATTGTGGGTGGCTGGGGTGAGGGGGACCCTAGGCTGCAGGCTCGGCAGGAGAGGCCTGGCAGGGGAGGTCTCTTGAGGAGCATTGTCATTCTGTAAGTTTAGGTTTGGAGTGAACTTTTCCTACTATGGCCTGATTCTGGATGTGTCTGGACTGGGGCTGAACATCTACCAGGCACAGCTGCTGCTAGGGTTATGGAGCTGCCCTCCAACATCACAGTCTACTTCCTTGTGCGTCACGTGGGAGGCTGGAATGCTGCTGGGTGCTGCTCTGACCTTTGGCATCGGCATGCTGGTATCTTTAGGTGAGCTGAGGTCTGTCAGTTTGGTTCTGCCCTGGGCCAAGACTCTGCATCACACCCAGGGAGTTCCAGGAATCATCCCTTCACTGCAGGAATCCCTTTCTCTCCAGAGACCAAGTCCTGGGTCACTACTCTGGTGGTGTTGGGCAAAGGGTTTTCTGAAGCTGCCTTCACTACGGCCTACCTGTTCACCTCAGAGTTGTACCCTACTGTGTGCTCAGGTGGGTTGGGGTCCCAGGCAACTGACCTACCTTTGTGAAGGCATCTGCATCCATTAGCTACAGCCAGATACATTGTGGTTGTTTGTTCAAGTCTTGGAGAGCACAGGGAATTTTATCTTCTGTACTGTGTAACCTTGGGCCAAGTCAGCCTTGTGGGGATTCTCTGAAGAAACATTTCCAAGAATACCCATGCTGCCCACAGTGTTGCAGAACCCTTGGGGATTGTCTCTGGGCACAAGGCCGGGGCTTCCCTTCAGATGGCAGTGCCTCTGTAAGCTACAGATCTCCCTTACACACTAGCATCTTGTAGCTCTTGGAGGGGTCCCTGAGTAGCACTCTGTCAGAATGGGGGTCCCATCCTCTGGTGGATACTGGATTAAGAGTTCCTGGTCTGGGGAGGGGGTGAGAAGCCTGTATCAGGGGCTGCCAGCCCAGGTGGGGGGTTGCAATACATGGCCCCTTAACCTCTCTTGAACAGACAGAGAGGATTGGGGCTCACCGCTCTCATCGGCCGCTAGGGGCCTCTTTGGCCCCACTGGCAACCCTGCTGGATGGAATATGGCCGACGCTGCCCAAACTTGTGTATAGGGGAATTGCCCTGCTGGCTGCCTGCACGGTACTCCTGCTGCCTGAGACAGAGGTGGCGCAGCTGCCAGACCATCCAGGGTGTGGGAAGAAACAGGTATGTGTGCGTGTGTGTGGTGCTCGTGGGTTCACATGCCCAAGCCCTGATACTTCCCATGCAAAGGGGAAGACAGCTGCTTGACTACACTTGACACCTGGATATATGTACACGTGTTCCAAGGTGTATGCCCTGGTGTGTTTAAATTGTGTTCAAAAAAGCATACATCGGTGGTGGTGGTGGTGGCGGCGGTGGCGGCGCATGCCTTTAATCAGTGGCGGCGCATGCCTTTAATCAGTGGCAGGTGGATCTCTGTGAGTTCAAGGCCAGACTGGTCTACAGAGCTAGTTCCAGGACAGCCAGGGCTGTTACATAGAGAAACCCTGTCTCCAAAAAAAACAAAAACAAAACATACATCAAGTCCAAACCTTTATGTATATGCAAATGTCCAAGAAGAGTTACACATGTGCACATTCAGCTATGCCTATACACCAATATGTCTAGACATGTGTGACTCCCTTGTGTGAGTACGTGTGCTTGTATGCAAGGAGCTGGGACAAGCCCTGAGCCAGCCCTCGTAGGCTTCAGGACTAAAACCCACCATGTTCCTGACCCTTCCTTCTTCCTTGTCCTGTCCAGTACTCAGGAAGAAGATATGCAGGTCCAGAACTGAGACTAGAGACGCCCTCCACAGGGGCTCTACAGGAGCTGGGAACAGAGGGCAGGCATCCCTATGTCTGAGGATGGAGATGCCACTGGCAACAGGACAGCCACCTGGAAGGCCCTGGCTGCTGGAGATTCTGGGCACCTCTCATGCCTGGGGATTCTTAACTTAAGATGCCTCATGGGTTGGGGCAGCATTGAGATCTCAGGAGACCCCAAGATGGGAAGCCATTGACTTGACCCTCAGCTCTGACTCCAGCTCTTCATCTCCCAAGTGGCTAATCAAACTAGGAAGTAGGGAGGATTCATTTCCATGCTCAAACTAAACAAGGTGACTCTAGAAATGTTGCTAAAGGACAGTCCTATGGTTATCTCTAGTACACATGAGGCTGATGGGTATACTGCCTATGATGCAGGGATAGGATCTGCCCAATTCCATGGCCAGGACCAACAGATAGAGCTTCTTGTTGCCAGGGCTACTGGTGCCCCTGCTCCCCCATTACTGTCTAGGCTTCATACCTAAAGAGCTGAAAGCATGAGAGTCAACATTTTATTAGAGAAGCCAGAATGCTGAGACTCAATAAATGACCTCGGTGAGTATACCTCAAAACTGCAGTGTTGCTGGGAGAAGGGACTGCAAAACAAGATCACAATTCTAAGTGGGGTAGCCCATTCAGATAGGAATGAGGAAGCAAAGAACCGGCAGAGAAATCTAGATTCAGGTCTACCATAGAGCCCAGGCCAAGGCCCTGGGATTTCACCGCCTTCCTCCGAAAGGACTAGGGAATTCCAGAGCCTCCACTGGACTATGGGAGAGAGGGTGTGAAGCCTGAGTTAGGATGATCACTCCTGGGAATGGCTCATTTGGATCTTGTCTCCACTGGCTCATAGATGTAGCAACCCACATGGCCAATGTTCACACCTGAAGGAGAAAGCCCTGTCACCAAGGACTTCGGTGAAATGGGTGTTGGGTTGAGGGCTGAAGGGAGAGGGGAGGGGCCTGGGATGTCTGACCAGAAGGGAAGTTGTCCACACATCCCCACAGGCCCTGATACTTTAGGCCCAGTGTCTGGGGTCATGTTGCCCACCTCTGGGGCCAAACAGGTATCCATAGCAGGGGATGTGACAGTAGGGTGTGCCGTTATGCTGGAACACACAAAAAGAGTCTCCTCAGCCTGTCTCTCTTCCCGTTTCCAGACTCCTTCCTCCAACATAACTCCCATTCAGCCCTGCTCACCTCCGCGTGACTCCCAGCAGTCAAGGTCTTCCTGCAGCGCTGGCACCTCAGGCAGGGGCGGTGCCAATTTCTGCCCAAAGACATCACCTTCTCAGCTGGTGGTAGAGAGAAGGGATAGCTCTTCCATCCTGGGGGCGGGGCAAGGCCAGCTCCTGCCTTGTCACCACCCTGCCCTCTGCTGCCTAACCAGTGCTCCTCTCCAAGCTTTCTGTTGTCACTTACCAAAGTAGACAGGGTCTCCACATCCAGGGCACAGTGAGGTCTCCCCGGTGAATGTCTTCGTGTAGGAAAGGCCTTTAATGGGAAGAGGCCCCAGCTAAGGCTGTGGTGGGGGCCAGTCCCTAAGCAGAGTCCTCCAGCCCCTGCCTGTATATGGCACTATCTTCTCCCCAAACCCATTCATCCGACCACATCACACCCCAGGCAACCATGAGTCTGCCTTCCGTGAGTTCAAGACTCATCCCACCCTATTGATCATTTTCATGTCACCCTCCCAGGGCCTCACAAGCCCACGGGTCCCATGTTTCAGCGCTGTAGTAACTCAATCATCAGGAAACCTGAGCTGATACAGGAGCTGGCCAGGGCAGTGGTGTCGGGTGTTGGGGAGCATGGTGCGCTGCCCACTGAGGACTAGAGAAGAATCTGAGGAGCTGCCCACCCTAACAAGCCCTCACTTTAGGTCCTTCCCTCTACTGCCCTGGCTGGGGAGCAGGCCCAGCTCCAGGCCAGCCTTATTTCTAATTAGCAGTCCTCTGTCTTCTCTGGGTTGCAAAATGAGGGTGATCATGCTACCTGTCCAGTTTACCTTTTAAACTCAACTCACATGAGAGAACAGAGAAAGACCAGGGCCCCGACAGGACTGAGAGCCGTCCCAGGCCTGTGGTGCAGAGGGCAGGGGAGGCGACTGCTCCTGAGACACAGTGTCTGCTGCAGCCTGAAGAGTCAGGGGAGCAGGACAGCTGAAGCCCACCTTCACTTACTTTTCTTGGCCTGGGGGAGGCCAGCCCTTGGCCTTGGGGGGCTAAAGTTGCCGGGGCTGAGGGAAACGCTGCTGGCAGGGGAGGGAGCAGGGGGATTGTAGGGATAGCAACCCACACCACCAATGTTGACCCCTGCAGAGAGAAGACCCAATAACGGAGGTCAGGCTCTAGCTCCTAGCCACAGGGAGAGTCCTGTGGCCCCTGGCCCCTTCTAGGCTGGAACTTACCTCTAGGTCCAAAGAGAGCCCCATAGCAAGGCTTGTGGCAGTATGGCCTCCCGTTGTGCTGGGCACAAGCACAGGCAGAGGGAAGGGGTCATTCAGGGCCAAGGGTTATGCCTCGCAGGCCGTCTCAGTACTGGCTGTCAGGTGCAAAGTGCACTCCAGTCTGGTGGGTCTGATGGTGGGTGATAGGCTACAATTGCCACTGTGGTCTACTGATAGGGTGGGTGATCACTAGGCTAGCAGGTCAGAACTGCCACTGTGGTCCACAGGCTGAGGCTATGAGTGGGAGACAGAGCGGCCGCTTATCCCCCCTCAAAGCCATGGACCAGCAGCACCACTGAGATGCCCAAATTTTGACTGGTATGAGGCCCATCAGGTGGGTAGCCCCTGAGGTTGCCTTTGGCAGGTTCCCAAGGCTGAAATTGGGGTCTATCTGGGTGGAGGGGTGTAGTAACAGGGTTGTCACCCTGGTCAGGCCTCACCTCTGCATGCCCGCCAGGGGACAAGATGCTGTGGCAGTGCTCACATTTCAGGCAGAAACGGTGCCAGTTCTTGCCTACGGAGCTGACTTTCTCAGCTGTGGGGAACAAGGTGGATCCAGGCTGCAAGGAGTCCAGCCCAGAGCCAGACGCCCTGCTTTGGCCCTTTCGGCTTTCTGGGGGAACCAGCCCAGCCAGTCTAGCTCTCTGGAGACAATGAATAGTATCTCCAGGAGAGAGCTTCAGCCCACCCAGTGCCTCTGGTCTTCGGGGCTTGGAGGTGTGGCAGGCAGGCAGGCAGCTGGCTCACAGGCTCCTCACTGACTCTTCACTCAGTCACTCAAGTCACTCACTCACTCACTCACTCACTCACTCACTCACTCACTCACTCACTCACTCTTGGGTGATACAGGGACCCCGGAGGCTCACGGTTATCTTTACTCCTCGGTCCCAGCCTCACCGAAGTAAACTGGTTGCTGGCAACGCGGACAAGTCCAGCTCATGGTTCCTCACAGGACTGCCCAGTCCAAACAGCAACTACAGGCACCCGCAGCTAAGTCACGCCCCTTCACCAGCACCGCCCACTGTCCGACTTTGATCTCTTGGGAGTTGTGGCCGATCATTGGATACCAAAAACTTAAGAGCTGAGGGACCGAGGCAATTATCAATTTACTTTTAAGAACTTCAAAGAACGAGTGGGATCCAGACTTAGGAGGGAAGAAGTCCTGAGTTCAATTGTTCATTTCTAGGTCAGTGAAAGCAAGCAAGGGGCAGGCCAGCAGGGTTAGTTCCCCCTTAGTGAGCAGGGCTTAGACAAGGATGTGAAGCCCACCAAGTAAATCACCCCTCCGGCTTCTTGTTTGTACAAAGAACAGTAACATGGCAACAGTCTCCAGGGCACAGGGTTGTAATGGGAATTGGGCAAATTAATCTCAACAGTGCCTGGCACGTAACTGCTATGCAAGCAATATGAGAAGTCCCTTAAGCTGGGCGGTGGTGGCGCACACCTTTAATCCCAGCACTCCGGAGGCAGAGGCAGGCGAATCTCTGTGAGTTCGAGGCCAGCCTGGTCTACAAGAGCTATTTCCAGGACAGCCTCCAAAGCCACAGAGAAACCCTGTCTCAAAAAACAAAAACAAAAACAAACAAACAAAAAAAGTCCCTTAAAGGAATTCATAACCCAGTCTGTAAGTCCCACAATGTGGTCCTGCTTATAATCTATGGTTTGCTCATAAGATTATCATACTTGCCGGGCGTTGGTGGTGCACACCTTTAATCCCTGCACTCGGGAGGCAGAGGCAGGCGGATCTCTGTGAGTTCGAGACCAGCCTGGACTACCAAGCGAGTTCCAGGACAGCCTCCAAAGCCACAGAGAAACCCTGTCTCGAAAAACCAAAAAAAAAAAAAAAAAAAAAGATTATCATACTTGTTAAATTTGTAAGTTTAAGTTAAACACCAGCTACGTATCTCTAACTTATAGAGACTTTAAAATGTTGTGTAGTCACTGATGATCATACAGGGGTGCAATGGATAATTCAAACCAATGGCCACACAGCTGGCCCTGGTTAAACTAAATGGGTCACACACAAAACCCAGGCCTGAAAACCATGAACCTGGGAAGGGACTAGTAGGGGCTGGGGGCAGGAGTGAAAAGAGAGAGATGATGAAGTGGGTCGGATGGCAGTAATCAGAATATACTGCGCATATACATGAAATTGACAGATAACTAAATCAATTTAAAAATGAAAAACCCCTTATCAACCACTGCCCCAAAAGTTAGATAGAATGAATTTAGTTGTAGAATGCACCCTACTTTTACACCAGGTTTTACTATAAGTATCAAATTTGTTATCAGTATACAGTTACTCAGATAGTCTTCCTTAGACTTTCACTCTATGTGCACAGGTGTTTTGCCTGTGTGTATACTGATGTGCATGCAGGGCCCACAGAGCCCAGGAGAGAGGGTGAGATCCCTAGAACTGGAGTTACAGATGGCTGTGCTCTACCCTGTGGATTCTGGGCAGCAAGGGTTTTTAATTGCTGAGCCCTCTCTCTAGCCCCATTCAGATGGAATTCTTTTAAAAATGACACTTAACAAAGTAGTATAAACAAAAACACAGATGTAAAAAAGATTTTAAAATGTGTCAAAAATTGCTGGGGAGTGGTCTCACTCAGTAAAGTACCTACTATGCAATCTTGAGAACCTGAATTTGGGTCTCTAGAACCCAGGCACTATGGAATATACCTGTAATTCCCATACAGAGGCAGAAGCAAGAAGATCCCTGAGGCTTGCTGGCCACCCAGTTAGCCCTGGGTTTAGTGAGTGATCTCTCTCTCTCTCTCTCTCTCTCTCTCTCTCTCTCTCTCTCTCTCTCTCTCTCTCTCTCTCTCTCTCTCTCTCTCTCTCTCTCTCTCTCTCCTCTCTCTCCTCTCTCCTTCCCTCCCATCTTTTTTTTTTTGTTTTTTGAGTCAGTCAAGGTTTCTCTGTGTAGCTCTAGCTGTCCTGGAACTAGCTCTGTAGACCAGGCTGGCCTTGAACTCAAAGATCTACCTGCCTCTGCCTCCCGAGTGCTGGGATTGAAGGTGTGCACCACCACTGCCCAGCTATTTGCAACTTTTAAAGATTTATTGATTTATTCATGTATTTTATGTATATAAGTGCTCTGTCTTCATGCACACCAGAAGAAATCTGATCCCATTACAGATGGTTGTAAACCACCATGTGGTTGCTGGGAATTGAACTCAGGACCTCTGGAAGAACAGTCAAGTACTCTTAACCACTGAGCCATCTTTCCAGCCCCTATTTGCAACTTTTATTATTATTATTATTACTTTCTTTTGGTTTTTTTGAGACAGGGTTTCTCTGTATTGTTTTGGAGGCTGTCCTGGCACTTGCTCTGTAGACCAGGCTGGCCTCGAACTCACAGAAATGTTATTATTTTAAAAGCTGCAAATAAGCCGGGCATTAGTGGCACATGACTTTAATCCCAGAGAAACCCTGTCTCGAAAAAACAAAAAAAATAAAAAATAAAAATAAAATAATAACATTTAGGGGCTGGAGAGATGGCTCAGCGGTTAATAGCATTGACTGGCTGCTCTTCCAGAGGTCCTGAGTTCAATTCCCAGCAACCACATGGTGGCTCACAACCATCTGTAATAAGATCTGGTGCCGTCTTCTGGTGTGGGTGAAAACAAAGCATTCATATACATAAAATAAACAAATAAATAAAAATTTAAATATTCTAAAAGAAGTATGTCCACATAAAAGCTTGCATTTGAATGTTCATACCACAACTAGTTGCAATAGGTGAAGGTGGAAAAAAATCTCAAGCTCATCAGTTGGTACGTGGATGAACAATATCTGGTACTTATATGTGCTGGTTAGTTTTTTGTGTTAACATGACACAAAACTAGGGTCATGTGGGGAGATGAAACCTCAACTGAAGAATCCCTCCATCAGACTAGATTGTAGGCATGCCAATAGGAGCTTTTCTTCACTACTGACTGACGTAGGAGAGCCCAGCCCACTTTGGGGGTAAGAAGTGAGACTGAGCAAGCCAGTACATAGCATCTTTCCGTGGTTCTGCTTCCATCCCTGCCTTGAGTTCCCACCCTGACCTCCCTCCGTGAGGACTGTAAGTTATAGGATAAAAGGGACCCTTCACTCCTCACACTGCTTTTGGTCACGGTGTTCATCATGGTAGAAAACAAGCGGAATGGCACCCAGATTACAGAACTACTCTGGAGAGAAGGAGACAAGCGGAACGGCATCAGATTACAGAACTACTCTGGAGAGGAGGAGAGAAACGGAACGGCATCAGATTACAGAACTACTCTGGAGAGGAGGAGAGAAACGGAACGGCATCAGATTACAGAACTACTCTGGAGAGAAGGAGACAAGCAGAACGGCATCAGATTACAGAACTACTCTGGAGAGAAGGAGACAAGCAGAACGGCATCAGATTACAGAACTACTCTGGAGAGAAGGAGCGCGGTGCTGATGCATGCTGCAGCACAGGTGAGCCGTAAAGCCATGAACAAAGAAGCATGGCTCTATTTCTGTGCCACCTTATCGATCGCCACCTAACCTCACTCCCCTCCAGCACTTGGAGGCTAACTAAGGCAAGAGAACCATCCTACCTGGTTAAACGGTGAGCTTCCATGCTAACCTGTGCTACATAGTAATACTGTCTCAAAAATATTCTTAGTGTAGGGATTACAAACATGAACAATGACACGAGGAGAAACTGTCACCTATGTGATCTTTTCCCCTCAATTAAAAGAAACACTTGAGAAAGTTAGAATGGTAGTCCCATTTTGGGAAAGCAGTGGCTGGAGGAGAACATAAGAGGTCTCACAACGTAGCCCAGGCTAACCCGGAACTCACAGAGACTTGCCAACCTCTGCCTCCTGGGTGCTGGGATTAAAGGTGTGTGCCACCACAGCCAGTTAAACTTGGTGTTGACTAATGAGTTATGTTCACCTTATGGAAATTATTGAGTTTAACAATCATGATTTGTTTGCTTTTAAAAATATGCGTACTACACTTTAATATAAGCTTATTTTTTTTAAAGTCACTGTGTTGCCTATTCCTGGGTGAACAACCAAAAGAACTGAAAACACACCTACACAAAAAACTTGTATGTGGATATAGTATTATTGTAGTCCTAAAGTGAAAATAATTCAAGTATCTATCAACTAATAGTATAAAAATATTGTATGTCTCTATGGAATAGTCTTCCATAGAGATGTAATGATATGTGATACCTGAACATTATGCTAAGTGGGAGAAACCAGACACAGAGGACCACACATTGCATGAAATGTTCAGAGAGGTAAATGCATAAAGACAGAAAACATTGTTGATTGCCAATGGTAGGAATGGTCTGAGAATAGGATGATTAAAATAGGTTGACTTGCCGGGCGGTGGTGGCGCACACCTTTAATCCCAGCACTACGGGAGGCAGAGGCAGGCGGATCTCTGTGAGTTCGAGACCAGCCTGGTCTACAAGAGTTAGTTCCAGGGCAGCCTCCAAAGCCACAGAGAAACCCTGTCTCAAACCCCCACTCCCCCTAAAAAGAATAGGGTGATTAAGATACAACTAGCCTCCCTTTATATAGAAGACAATGGTGTGACTGGGACAATATATGAGGCCACTGGCAGTGGGTCCAAGATCTAACACTGATGTACAAACTGACTTAGTGGAGTCCATCTATATGGAGAGCCTAGACAAGGGTATGGGGGTGGAGAGGTGCCTTGGTCCTGCCTCAGCTAGATGATGGGACAGACTAGACTTTCTAGGGGAGGCCTTACCCTCTCCATGGAGCAGGAAGTAGGAGGGGAGAATGGGGAGAGCGGGAGGAGAGGAGGGAGGGGGAACTGGGATTGGAATGTAAAATATAAATTAATTTAAAAAAGAAGAAAAAAGAGAACAGGATGATGCATGTGTTTAGAGGGGAGAGGCATAGAAAGGCTCTGGAATTAGTGGTGGTAGTTGTACAACTTTGAAGATATCAAAACCTAGAAAACTGTACACTGTAAATTATAAGTTTTACAATAAAAATTAAATGCTATATTACTTATATTTTAATTAAAAAGTTTAGGGTTTCTTTCTTTTTTGAGACAGGGTTTCTCTGTGTAGCCCTTGCAGTTCTAGAGCTCACCTGTGGCCAGGTTGGCTTCTGCCTGCCTGTCTCCTGAGTGCTGGGATTAAAGGCGTGCACACCACTGCTCAGCCAGCAGTTTATCATTTTAATATATGTGGGTTCCAGAAAAAGAGGTAAAACCCGATGGAAGACATTATTTAGCAATGTTCTCTTCCTCTCGGACTACTGCAGTACACTTCAGCCACAGGCTCCAGACACCAATGAGCTGGCACATGACAGCAGTCACACTTTCTGCGATCCCAGCTCATGACTAAAACCTGACTGTCCCTGGAAAGAGGAAAAGTGACAGGCAATGAAGCAGACTTGGAGCTCGTGGTGACTTGGCTGTCTTGGCTC